TACTGATGTATTCAGTAAGTACACCATTGCTGTTCCAACTCGGGATCAGAAGGCAGCCACTGTTGCCCAGATTTTGCTCACGGAATGGTTCTTTAGATTTGGTATTCCAAGTCGCATTCATTCAGATCAGGGTCGGAGTTTTGAGAGTGCGTTAATTCAGCAGCTCAATAACCTGTATGGGGTTAAAAAGTCGCGCACTACCCCTTACCGCCCTGCTGGAAACGGGCAGTGTGAGCGCTTTAATAGAACACTTCATAATCTGCTGCGCACTTTACCAACATCTAGGAAGTGGGATTGGGCTTCCTGTCTTCCACAAGTACTCTTCTGTTATAACACTACCCCTCATCAGAGCACTGGCGAGTCTCCGTTTTTTCTTATGTTTGGCCGTGAACCTCAATTGCCTGTGGATTTCTTGTTGGGTCGCATTCGGGACCCTGCACCAGGTGAAGTGGTGGACTGGCTGGCTGAGCATCAGACCAGGTTAACTATGGCGTTCCGTCATGCTCAGGATCACTTGTTGGCAGCTGCAGGGCGTAGAAAAGAGCATCATGATCAGGGCATCCGGGAGGTTCCATTGCAGGAGGGACAGTTGGTTTACCTGCGCGATCATAGTGCTAGAGGTCGCCATAAAATCCAGGACCTCTTTAGCCCGGTTATCCATCAGGTCGTGAGAGCTCCAACAGCTGGAGGGCCGGTTTATACTGTGGCGCCTGTAGGTGATTTGCAGAGAACTCGAAAGGTGCATCGTGACATGCTGAAAGCTCGGGTTGGGCCGGAGCCTACGCCAGTACCCCTGCAGCTAAAACCTACCTTTCCTTCAGGGGGACTGGATGACTCTTTGGAGGATGATTTGTGCTTATTGGTCCCCGATACTTCAGTACCATCCACCTCTGCAGCTCCACAGGTTGCTTCAGGACAGGGTCACCCTGCTCAAACTTCTGGGAAAGCTCCTCTACCCTTGCGTTGCACTGTTCGTTTCAGAGCTGGTCAGTACTCGAATGTCCATCACCTTCCTCGACCTGTGGGTCATACTGCAGGATCTAGTCAGCCAGTCTCCAACTCCCAGTTAGCAGTTTTTCGTCCTTGGTGCTGAGGTTTGTAGATTCATCGTCGGGCCGACGATGCAACACAGGGGGGTAGAACAATACAATTCTTCAATTCAATTATTCCTGTTAAAAAGGAGTTTTTCATCTCCACTCACACTACATACACTCACCGGCCACTTTATTAGGTACCCCATGCTAGTAACGGGTTGGACCCCCTTTTGCCTTCAGAACTGACTCAATTCTTCGTGGCATAGATTCAACAAGGTGCTGGAAGCATTCCTCAGGGAGTTTGGTCCATATTGACATGATGGCATCACACAGTTGCCGCAGATTTGTCGGCTGCACATCCATGATGCGAATCTCCCGTTCCACCACATCCCAAAGATGCTCTATTGGATTGAGATCTGATGACTGTGGAGACCATTTGAGTACAGTGAACTCATTGTCATGTTCAAGAAACCAGTCTGAGATGATTCCAGCTTTATGACATGGCGCATTATCCTGCTGAAAGTAGCCATCAGAAGTTGGGTACATTGTGGTCATAAAGGGATGGACATGGTCAGCAACAATACTCAGGTAGGCTGTGGCATTGCAACGATGCTCAATTGTTACCAAGGGGCCAAAAGAGTGCCAAGAAAATATTCCCCACACCATGACACCACCACCACCAGCCTGATCCGTTGATACAAGGCAGGATTGATCCATGCATTCATGTTGTAGACGCCAAATTCTGACCCTACCATCCGAATGTCGCAGCAGAAATCGAGACTCATCAGACCGGGCAACGTTTTTCCAATCTTCTATTGTCCAATTTCGATGAGCTTGTGCAAATTGTAGCCTCAGTTTCCTGTTCTTAGTGTGGTGGGATGGTGTTCCACCCTCCCAACTACATACACCAGGTGTAGTGACTGATTGGTGGGCGGGGCAGATAGATTTAAAGCTGAGCAGTCCGCTGTGAGGTGCGTGTGCCCTGTTTCCTTACTGTATGTCGGCTGCCCGAGTGGCTGGTGTGCTCGATCCACTCATCCAAAATAGTAAGTGCCATTTTGCCATCTGGGCTGGGATTGTTGTCGGGTTCTGGTGCAATACCTGCCGTGCGTTTCTGCAGCGTTGCGCAGCTGGCGTTGGCGGCTGCAGTTGGAGGTTGGTGCGGCGAGCGGCTTCCGTCCGGCCCTCGCCTGCTGATCCGCTCCCTCCCTGGTCGGCTGTGTCACCATATCTGGGATTCTTCCGGAGTTGCAGCGCTTGGACGCTCCTGCTGTCTTGTCTTGCTGGTTTTGTTTGGCCGCTCTTGGTGGAGCCTGCTGACGCTTGGGCTGGCGGAACAAGCGGGGCACGACTCCTCTGGCCCCGTGAACAGACATTAGAAGTCGGACAACGACAGTTTGTCCCATCGTTTGCAGTGGTTGTGTTCTTTTCTTTGCCGTTTGTTTGCTTACTATTTAAATTACTAATTTGTTTGCTTTCCTTTGTTTTGATTTACTAATTTGTTTTCTTTTGAATTGCATGATTTGTTTGTTCATTCATTTTTTGGGAATAATTTAAATTGTCCTTATTTTGATGCCTTTTCCTTCTAGGGGCTGAGTAGTGGGCCCGAGGCCATGTTTTAAAAGAAAAATGTTTTAACGAAATTGGTTAATAAATCATTGGAGACTACTCCGTGCTCTGGTGCGTCTTGCCTAAAAAGATCTACCCCCTCTGCTGGTCACATTAGCTGAAAGGAGTGGCACCCGGTGTGGTCTTCTGCTGCTGTAGCCCATCTGCCTCAAAGTTCGACGTACTGTGCATTCAGAGATGCTCTTCTGCCCACCTTGTTTGTAACGGGTGGTTATTTGAGTCACTGTTGCCCTTCTATCAGCTCGAACCAGTCTGGCCATTCTCCTCTGACCTCTGGCATCAACAAGGCATTTCCGCCCACAGAACTGCCACTCACTGGATGTTTTTTCTTTTTCGGACCATTCTCTGTAAACCCTAGGGATGGTTGTGCGTGAAAATCCCAGTAGATCAGCAGTTTCTGAAATACTCAGACCAGCCCTTCTGGCCCCAACAATCATGCCACGTTTAAGTCACTCAAATCACCTTTCTTCCCCATACTGATGCTCCGTTTGAACTGCAGAAGATTGTCTTGACCATGTCTACATGCCTAAATGCACTGAGTTGCCGCCATGTCATTGGCTGCTTAGAAATTGTTAACAAGCAATTGGACAGGTGTACCTAATAAGTGGCCAGTGAGTGTACATGCTTGGTGTGAGGGATTGCCTTTGAATCAATGAGTCGATGCAATCAACTGGTTTTCCATAGATAGAAAACTTAAAATCTATTTGATTGTATGATGTGGTTGAATTTGTCTCTGTAAAGTGCCTTATGATGACATGTGTTATAAATTGGAGCTATATAAATAAATTGAATTGAAATTGAATTTTGAATTCTTGAGATTTCTTTTGTCTTAGCTCTAGTTTTTGTCACTCTTTGTTGCTCTCATTGCCTCCTACTGTCTCTCAGCTTTCCTTCCAGGTCTCTCCGTCCACACCTGCTCCCAGTGCACACCATTAAACTAATTCACGATTACCTTTTTTGCACCTTCATCATGTGCCACAGCATTTTTTAATGTTTTAGTTCACAGCAGCCATCGGTTTTAGTGAACATGTTAATCATAAATAAGTTCACATGGGGCGGACCAAACCAGTTGGTGATGCAGCAGATTTTGCATTAATTTAATCAGTATATAAGGTCATGAGAAAACAAACTGCAAAAAAATGTATTGTTTATACAGTGAATTAATAGTAAAGGAATAAGGGAAGCAAAGGTAATATTCAGAAATGGGTAAATTAAAAATCATAATTTTCCATTGAACCAATGCAACAGAATTTTTTTTTTTTTACTGATGATTAGGGACGCCAAAAAGCCTACTGTAATATGTAAAAAGTGGGAAATTCCTCATCTAACAAAACCACCATATATTCCAATTCACACTTGACTAAACAGAAGGATGTGAGTTGTGTTGCAAACTATTTCTAACCCCTTTTAATTCATCTTCCTAGTTTAAATTTAAAAAATTATCTTCAAGAGGTAACCCCCTAATGGTGATAAAGTATAACAGAAAACGTTTACCTTAATACATTTAAGCCAGACAGAAACCAGATTTCCCTGTTTATTGCAGGAAATATTAGCTGTTTAAAACCAGTGTTTGAATTATATTCATCCTTAGATCCTTTAAAAATATGCTTTGCACACAAAAAATCACAACAACAGCATATCTAAAGTCAAAATCCCAGATCCCGGAACCCTTTGTAAAAGCAGCAGCATTGGTGAGCAACTTGGTGTAGGCCTTTAAAGATTATACTGTATTTTCATGAAGGTGTTTGCAGCTTTCAAGCAAAAATGTATGGAACAGAGTACATCCAGAATACAATGGGCCTTATTGCATTTGTTTGGCCATTTTTAGCAACAAAATATCACAGCACACAAGCTATTTAGCAAAACTAAAACAAACAGAATTTAGGTCATCTTTGTGTGTTCGGAGCGACTGCTGGGTTAATGCTACCAGGATGTCTGGTTGCAGTTGGTGTTCAAGAACTTTGGTTTAAAACAACTTCTCAGTTGTCAGTTCTTTCTTTTTGTGCAGTTCCTGAGTGATTAACTCAGAGCTGTAACACGATAATCCATGTTTCTCTTCTGGCATCTACCTGCTGAGCACATTTCCCTCTGGATGAGTGTCAGCTCAGCTTCTCCCAACACTTATGTCCTTCATTTAACTAAGGCTGCACAGTTACATTTTTTTTTCATTTACAGGTCTAAATAATATCAGCCTTATCTGTACATATTCACACCACTTATGCCAATCAAATATGGATTTTAAGGTGTTAAAAGGACTTCATTTCACATCAAATCAACATTAATTAAGTGGTTTTAAATAACACAATGTCTATGCAAAAATAAAAAAGTAAACATGTCTTTCAACCAAAAACTCAGTTTTATTGATTTCCTAGTTTAAATTGAACAAGTGGGCAACCCCAACAAGAAGTTTGTCATTTCTTTTTTAAATAATCTACATTTACAATAACGTTTCAATAAACTTCTCCTAAGGGACATTTATTACATTTGTTTACATGTTTTTTTTTATTGCAGTTTACAAGAAGAAAGTAACAGTAGTGCTTATTGTATTGCTACATTTTCCATTTCCTAAAATTTTCTTCTAACAATATCCACAATTCCTTATTAAGAGCTTTTGATAGTTACCTTGGGAGAACAGAGAACACAAGGCAGACCAGACAAATATACTGTTAAGTCCAAAACGACCCAAAGATGTGACGTTTTTGGTTTCTGTAGTTGTTAGTCTTTGCATACATCTACTTATCAGTGTAAGTGGTCCTGTAAATGTCCTTTGCTGGTGTCTTTTCTCCTACTGTTTCCTTTCTTCCAGTGCTGTATCTGGCAAAGATGGTCCTTTTTTTGTGTCCCAACATTAGAAGGACCTGGACAGAAGTCATAAATGAGTAGCAGACCTGGTTTGCTCACAGTGTGAAAGTTACTCCAAGAAGGACACTGAAAGCTTCTAGCTGTGCGTTACAGTTGAGAAAATGAAGATGATCACATGCAGACCTTTCAACAAAAGTGTTTACTTATGTGTGCTCTGGAAAATTTCTGTCACAATAGCTGTTTGAGGAGAGTCCACAATTGTCTGGGATTCATTAAGAGTTCAGTGTTGGTTCAATATCTTCACTCAGTAAAAAAAACAAACTGCAGTACACGTATTTCTGAACCAGTCTAACTGCATTGTATACAGAACACAAAAACAAATACTGATATCTGCAAAGTGCAAATTTCTTCTTTAGAAATTCCTGTGTATATCACTTCTATCTTAAGACAAAAATGTAATTTCCTATATTCCCCTCCGTTGCCTCTTTAGTTCTTTTTTGTGTCCCATTGAGGCAAATATAAGTCAACTGTTAAAAAGTAACCAAGTTGCAACAACATAGAATCATCTGCAAATTGTGTGAGCCACAAGAGCAGAACTACATTGGTGCAATCTACCCTGACAGCTATGTTATGAGTCTAGCAAATTTCAGATGCATCTACTACACTAAAAAGAGAATGCAGTGCTAACATAAATGATTTTCTTCAGTTGCAACAAGAAATTGAATTGACTTCACTCAACTCAATCTATTAAATTAAAGGAATAAACCTGCATAACTTTAATTCAATCCCTTCAATCAGTTGAAGCAGTTTCTTTAAGTTAGAGCTGCATTTTTGTTGTAGCTTATACATCTAATTCTGTGTAACTCATAATTGCTGAAAATTTGTAATGAAGAGGGATGAACATAAAAAAAGAGGTAGGGTTTTGATTCTGCCACATTGGATGCTAACAGTGCCTTCCCCAATATATTTATACCCCTTGAGCTTGTTTTTAGTTCCTTAAGGTCCTTAAGATTTTTTGTCCTTAAGATTTATTGCTAAAAGCACCTCAAGTAGGAGGAAAAGATGTTCTACATTCTGAAAAAGATTGGTGAATTTGTATTCAGACCTGTTTTCCCCTCCACCCCCAAAGAGTACAACCAACTACCTTAACAGCATTAATTATTGGGAACATGAGCTAAAAAGTGGCACCATGACGACTCACTGATCAAATTTAGTTGGATTTTATTTAGCTTTTTGGGTATATATGATGACTTTGCTTTAAAAAAAAAGTTAAAAGTATTGTGTCACTTAAACAAATTGGTCACAATACATCAACACAATGTGGTTACTTCTCCCATAAATCTAATTGAAACTGAAGGTTTAGGTTTTTGCAGAAGGATTACCTCACAGGTTCGTTTTTGACATTGCCTTCTGTGGGTTGCTAAGGAAGTCAACTTACCATGTGAGTTGTTTAGTGTTTTTCACACTGCTTCAATGAACTTTAAATCTGGGTTTGGAGATACAAGGTAGGCTCCCGTGTGGTGTTCAATGTATTTCCCCTGAAATATTCTGTTTCCCTAACTTTCTTAGCGTTACATTTTAATTTTGGATACCCAGTACAGAGACCGGAGAGAAAGTCTTGGTGTAAATTTAAGTGTGCCATCTCACAGAACACTGTTCATTGTGGTAAAGCTGAAAACCTACCAAGAAATGCCCCTCACTCAAACTGAAAGGATGGACAAAGAGATCATTAATCAGAGATTGAAAGAAGAAGCTAATGGTAACTTCGTAGCAGCTTTGAAGGAATTATTCTTTCATCGGAACATACACTATAAAGCCAAAAGTATTTGCTCACCCATTGAAATTACTGGAACCAGTTATCCCAATAATTCCATGGCCAAAGGTGTATAAAATCAATCACCTAGGCATGCAGACTGTTGTTACAAACATCGGTGAAAGAATGGTTTGATCTCAGGAGCTAATTGTAAACCAGCTTGGAACTGTGACAGAATGCCACCTTTGCAACAAATCCAGCCATGAAATTTCCTCTTCTAAATGTCCCACAGTCAACTGAATGATAAGAAAATATATGTGTTTGAGAATGACAGCAACACAGCCAGAAAGTGGTAGGCCGTATAAGGGGACAGAATGGGGTCAGAGGAATGGGTTTCCAGCTCACAGGGTAAGGGTCTCTCTTAGCAATCCACAGAAGGTACTATTTCTTAAGACATAATAGAAAATCTGTTCAATATTGCTAAATGCAGGGCAATCCTTGGAGGAAAAAAAATATTAGATATTGGAGGCTGCAAAAACTGGAAACTGGAATGGAGGTTCATTTTCCAGGAGAATGAGTGCCTGTGGTGATGGAAGTTAAAACTACATCTGATTGAAAATATATGTTAAGACTTGTTAACTGCTGTTCACAGACACCAGCCATGCAACTGACCCAGATTTGGGCTTTCTTTGCAAGAGCAATAGTAATTGTAATAATATTTAGAAGATTTATGAAGACCTGTAGTTTGCAGCTTTAAATGCAGCAAACACGACTCCAGAAAATCATACTTAGAGGGTCTGAACACAAAAGAAAACACTGCTTTCTCAGATTTTTTATTTTTGGGTCTGTATTTTGTGGACTTTGAGTTGAATCAATAAATTAAAATCCCACAAAAAAAGTAAATAAAAAACCATTCAAGGAGAATAAATACATTTTGAAGGCACTGTATAGCTACTGTTGACATTTAAATGCAGACTTTAAATACTTGAAGAAGTCCTCTTTAAATTGTCGACTCGTGGATTTGGATCACCATCTGGTACCCAAGTAATGAAGGGAAACCAGAGAGGATAGAAACATCTAAACACAATGAGGAGAAATATTTATATTTCATATAAATAAAAATAAAATGTACAGCCAGACCAGCCAGTTTGGCTATCAATGGCACATGGTTGCCTCCAGTTCACAGTGTGCTTCTTCCTGATTCAGGTTTATTCCCCTTACTGTTAGTAAGGAGTGAAGAGTATGGGCCCATGTGTGGTGCGGATGGGACCAGGGGCAGGCCTCAGCAAGCTGAGTGGTGTTCCCTGTAGCAGGTGTGTATGAGGATGGGAGGTCAGTCCAGGAGGGCGCAGGGCCAGCTGATTGGATGAAGCTGCTGCTGCCATCGCTGCTGCGACAGCCAAAGGATTTGGTAAAAGCCCAGGTCCTAGGGATTTTGGAAGTTCCTTTGAGAGAATTGAGAAAAAATAAGACTGTTGCTGCATTGCAACATAAACCCTAGTCAGCAGCCAAAACATGGGGGGGGGGGGCAAACACCTACCATAAAGTCTGTGCGCTTCTTGTGCCGACTGAGAAGAGGATTAGGTTTACCTGCAACCCCATCTCGATGCCTTCTGCTCGATATATGCTGTAGCATAAAAGGATGAGCAACAAGTATAAGGTTATGGCAAGCAATTTCTGCATTGGGCTTCACTGCATATTTTTACCTGTTTAAGCTGCAGCTCAGAGTTGACTCTGACATTGCATATCTCACAGTGGAAGGTGCGTTCCTGAGTGTTTGGATCAGAGGAGAGCTCGCCTCCCTGCTCAGGGCTGGGTTTAGGACCCAAACGTGGATACGCTTTAATGGGTCCCAGTCCACTTCGAGCTTCCAGGATTGTTCTATGTTTGGTTCCTGAGAACAGCAGAGGACCAGCATAATTTTATCTTATTTTTTATTCTTTTTGGGGGCAAGAATCATCTGGTTTTGCATAATAATGTCAGAGAAGTTAGAATTCCTTACAGCAGCTCACTCAAAAGTCCTTAAATACATATACCTTTAATTGCAGCTTACTGAAAGATCTGTTATGTTCATTTAGTGAGTGAGGGGAAAATATCAAATCAGTATTGCAGGTGCACATTAATTTGCACCTCAAACAATGGAGTTAAATTCTACAATTTCTACCTAGAATTGATCAACATGTTCAGCGACTTTTGATTAATTGATAATGTCTTTATTTTTGTCCTCAAAAACACAACACTGCCAGAAAACTAAAACTAAAAAGACATAAAATTTTAATGAAACTAAAAAGTTACACAACAAAGGGCAGAACCCTAACACCTTGGGGAGCAGGTTTACCAAAAACTAAGTTTTCCAAACCTGAAAATAGAGAAAACGGGGATACTTTCGTTTAACAAAGAGAGTTTCCCCAACCTGGTTGGGAGAAGGTTTTCTTCAGGAAACTCAGTGTCCTCTGTCTCCGTTCTCCTTACAGCCAATAATCCTGTTTTGTTCCCTGATTTAGTACGATTTTTGTCATAGTTTTGTGCATAATATATATATATATATATATATATATATATATATATATATATATATATATATATATATATATATATATATATATATATATATATATGTGTATATGTGTATTTATCTACATCTATATATAGATATTTATATATATGTACATCTATATATAGATATATATATACATATATACATTAGGTTTTAAAATCAAACATTGCATGTCCGTTTGACGAGAATCTTGTCAAAGAATGATCTGCATTTTTTCACAGGGAATTTAATATTTATTAGGAGATGATTCTACAACTCAGTGCAGGGTATGAGATTACTCGTTTTTGGCTTGCTTAACATAATATGCATTATAGTTTATATTCACCTGCTGCCAAAAGATTTCACCTAAGTAGATACATTGATTTACTACCATTCAAGAAACAATCCTGTAATGACGCAGCAACAATAGACTATGGCAAGCCAGCTTGATATGTACTAGTTTTGATGAATACGTATTCCTGGTATCTGAAAAAACATTTTTCTTTGTCTAAATGACCATTTCAAACAAAATGACATTCTTCACATTTAGAATAAACATTCTGGATGTCTGTAAATTAATTTCAGATCTCCATATTCCTGATATTACAGGATAGAATTTGCATTATGTTAACAATGATGGGGTGAAATAGGCACTTCCTGTTACCTGTTGTCATGCTGACTCGTGAATCGGTTCTCCACTGATAATGGCTTTTCATATTTGCTACGAGCGTGCTAAACTCTGAGTGGTTCTTCTTGGAGTTGATTGAACTAATTCATAGCAGCTGTTGTACAACCAAAAATTCAGAGTTCCTGAATTTAGGCTAGATCAATTTAGAGGATTTAAATCTGACTTTGTTAAACCTGCTTCATGAAACAGACCCCTGGGATTAGTCCTCAAAAAAAACAACAACAAAACATTAATTTATTTTGAGACACCGTTATCAGGAATGTAAATAATTTTAAGTAGAAACGTAAAACATTTGTCACTATTGTGCCTGACCAAAATTTCTTCACTTAACCCAATAAAATGCTTCTGAGATTTATTTTTTTTAACAAACAAAACCTAGAACTTACACTATTTCACAAGAATGGAAACAATGTGTTTTGCATTGCATACCATCTGTCCTTGTTTCCCCCTTTTTATGGGACATTACAAGGTTTGACTCCAACAATCATTTTTTAGGCTCATGAGACTAAAAGTCCTTCAAGTGTTAGAATGTTAATTTGCGTTTTCATTATAGCCGGGAAAACCTCATGGGCTACATGTGAAATGAGCAGAACCTCAAAGGGTTGGGATGTCACTTTTCAGGCTTTAAAGATTTGAGATTTTTTTATGCACTAAAGTCTGTGAGATTAGAAATGATAATAAGTCATATTTAATACATTTGCGTATCATTGAAAAGTTTAGTTATTTCAGTAACTAATTTCACCAGGTGAAATGCATTAAATGGGTTGGCTTTTTTCTTGTATTTATTTGCTCACAAAATAATCCAGATTGAAATCAGACCTATAAAATAATTTTTCATACAAGAATAGGGGCTTAATGAAAAGTATAGTTAGTGCCCACATCAATCCATTATTATTAAAAGGCACATTTAACCTAACTAGCAGGCCTCTTTAGAACCTATATTCCAATTAACTAAGTAAATTGGGGCTGTGAAGGTATAATTTAAAGAGTTTAAGATGTTTATGTGGTGTAGTGAAGCTTCTGCAGATTGGTCCAACCTTTGTTATGTGCCTCCAGCTGTGAGAGGGAATTAACTGCTACTTTGCAGAGAGAGCAGTAGAGAAGCTTCTTGGCTTTCTCCTCCTCTGACTCTCCTGAAGATTGGCTCGGTGCAGGGGAGGGGGTGTCAGGTAGAGCAGCTGCTGCTGGGTCTCCCGAAGAGCTACTGAGGGCTGCTGAAGAGGAGGGAGAGGATGTAAAAGGTGTGCCGACAGATGACTCTACATCTGCTGAGTTGATTGGAGTTGATGGGAGGTCGTTGGGGTTTAAGGGAGACTCCTTCAGGCTGGGACAAGACTGAGGATCATCTGTAGGCATCAGAAATATTTCTGGTCAGTAAATGAATACTTGAAAATCATTATTGGTTTAATTATAGTATAATGCAGTGAAAAAAATCAGGCAACGCTTTCAGCAGTTGTGCTTTTTCCCTGAGATCAAACAGGCTGCAGTAAGACTCGATCTGGATGTGCAAACAGACAGCCTGATCAACCCACTGTGACAGGATATGTTTACATGATGATACTTGTTTCCTGGAGTCATTGTCTAACCAAATATCTCTATGACAGTCGTGTATGTAAAAATGAAACAGAAAAAAAGCATCTGCTAACTATAAAATAAGTAAGAATTCAAGCTTTTTTCTTAAATCCAACTGACACAAAATCTCTTATTTTTGTTCTATTACTTTTTGTGATTATGAACAAGAGCTTTGGAGATTTTGGACCAGGTTGTTCGTACATGAAAACTCTCATCTGACGATGCTCACCCTGTTTGTTGGGGTTAGAATCAGGCATCAGGCTGGATGGTGGGATGCCTGGTGGGAGGGGTGAGGTTGGAGGCAGAGGCTGCTGTTTATCTCCGTCTTGTACACGTGATGTCTTAGATGTCTCGATGCCCTTCACCCTTCGAGCATGGCGATTCCCTTTATAATGGGCCTCTGCTTGACTCTGGACATAAAATAAAATAAACATGGCAAGATCACCTTAAATAAATATGATATGTTTGCTCCGTTTTTCTTTTTTTGACAATCATTTTGACATCATCAGATACTGGTATTAATGTATATCAAGTTTTTAAAAAGTTTTGGCTTCAAAAACAGCCAAATTTGAACATATGATGCTGTGGTTCAATTGACAGAAAAGGCTAATAATCTTTTCTCTTACAGACTGTAAATATTTTTTGATTACACTTAACACCTGCAATGGTTGTGGGAAAACTAAGGGGGTGTCCTCCATCACTCTATAGTCACAGTTTTAAGGCTTCGGCTGTATGCAGGTTTAGCTGTAAATGCATAATCTTTACATTAGCAGATCAGTCAGTTTCAAAGAAATATATCAGAAATGTATTTACAGAGAACTTTTTAACAGTCTGTGTAACACAAAGTGCTTTAGGACAAACACAGAAGCACCGGCGACAAACAATATACTGACAAAAATAACTAAATAGAGAAATTATATCAATAACAAAAGAAAATAATTGTTAGTCAATTGTAGAAAATAAGGAACAGTGGAAATGCAAAAGTTTAGGTTTTTCAGATATAGTGATGATTAAAGCATATTTCTATGAGAACAATAAAATAAATAAACCCCAGACAAAACAGAATGGATAAAAATGAAACAACACAAAAGTTAAAAAAATATTAAATATTCAAAATTATGAGTAGGAAATAATAAAACATAGGAAAATGTTATCAGACAAATGACTCACCAAGATTGCATACAGAGCAATATAGTAGTGGAATATAAACAGATCATGTTACAGTTGGTAAAGCTGAAAAAATATATAAAAACCTACAGGACACAACAAAAAAGGCAAGCAGCTGCTAAAACTAAGATGTTCTTTGGTTTTTTTTCTCCAAAAGCTTTAATTCCACATATCATAATTAATTAGCAGTTTAATGTATTATCACCAGACAATTAAAAAAATTAAAATGTTATCTTTGTCTGAGGCACTCATTTTAAATCTAATATAGAACAAATGAATAGAGACAATAATCCAATTTAAGAATCAAAACATGTCCTTAAAATTTATCAAATCCACAGGTAATTCAAGAAAGGGAATCAAAGTACCTGGTACCTTAAAAGTGCAATGCATTTAAAAAAACAAAAAACAAATCTGATCTGACCTAAATATAATCAGTATTTGGCTTGGATTTAGAGGGAGGTGATCAGAACATGCAACTGTGAACTCTTTCTGTCCACTGCAGGCACTGAATTTTCCCCCAGTTTGTTGGTCCCTCTGCTGAAGGAACAGCCTGAGCAAATGGTTTGCTGGTATGATGTGCTGATGAGGCTGTCAGAGAGGATTAGCCTCTGAATTTTTATGTCCTCCTCTGCCACCAAACCGCAGTGGGGAGTTGATGATGATTATTGAGTGTGGGATTATCTAAAATGGGTTTGCGAATGGCAGTTGGCTGTCATCTGCTGATGAAAAGGACATAGAACGAAACAGAAAAGAAAAGAAAGGGACACTAAAGAAGATTAGCTCAACACAGGTAAAAATATGAAAAGTTTATGGCGTCTAAATAGAAAATAAAAAATGAAGTGTCCTCTATTTCCTTTATTAGGGAAAGTTCCACTGTATAAGCTGCATTGAAGCCTGATTCACACAAGGGTAAAGCTATCAAAAACAAAGCATACTATAGATACTAAGATACTATACAATAAGGGCTAGTTTTGTAATGAAACTTGAAAATAACACCATGCATTAATTCTAAAAAGCATTGTCGTGTTAAAAGAAACCTGCAATCAAGTAAAGTATAAAAAAACCCCAATAATAATCACAAAATGTGAATGTATATTTGTGCATAAAAAAATCAACATCAGATTATTTACATATAACAGCTGAAATGTAAACAACCTATATATTTGTTTTGGCAGGAGTGGTTATAAAGTACTGTAGTTTTAAGAAGGATTTGTTTTGTCTTTCTTAATAAATGTTTGGAGGTTAAAATCTTTGTATTCTTAATTAGACTGACATTTTTAGAAAGGTCACTCTTTCTTTCAAATGATTTATTTTCTCCAATTGACAGAAAAGGATTAATTCAAATCACACAAAGACACACATGGATATGCACTACTTTACCCATGAATTTAGAATTTTGAGAAGATGATGTTTCTTGGTAAAATTACAGGTTGTTTTCCTCCACTGTAGTGATATAATTGTGCTCATGTGCTATGCATAATTATCTTTTGTTGCTGACAATTTTTTTAAAAAGTACCATGGTTCTTGCCTGCTGTGTCCTGGCATAATGCCATCCTAACAATGTTAACAGGGTAGACAGAATGCAAATGAATACGGGAAGCTTAATTTAATGTCCAATAAACTTTAAGTGGACTTTTGATTAAATCACAAAGTACCAATGTTTTGGCCAATGGTATAAAGCAGGGTTTACATTGTGTTAACTTAACTCTTATTAGATTAGTTTGTACTACTGCTGTCATGTGGCAGCAATAGTACAACCTCCACACCCTGACTACATGTATACATGTTTCTTATTATATCCATTACACAGCTATGGGATCCAAATAAAGCATGTCAAAGGTACATATTGGGGTTTTAAGGAAGAAGGACAAATGCGATGTGTCCAAGATACCTCTGAGGAAGTAGTCGGAGGTATTAACTGCCAGTGTTACTCATATAGCCTGTATCCTGATAGGCGATGACAGATATAGCTCTGCTAGTGTAACTCCACTCCTCCAGCTTCTGTTGCCTGTAGCCCTTATGAAGGCCTGCAGATTAACATGCAAATACAAAAATGGAAGAAATTCCCAATGTTATTTTATCCCTGCATTTATACTGCTGGAAGAAAACCCCAGGTCCCACTAATATCCACCAACGTACAATTATTGGGGTCAAATATGATCCTGACACTTATTAATTAGATTCAAGTTTCTTTAATCAGCTTACTGCTTTTTGAAATAAGAGAATCAAAACACCTTAGCAAGTTGAGCTTCTGCTCCCCTATATTTAAAAGAGTGGGGAACAGAATTTTCTCCCAATTTTCAGACCAAACATAATATGATGGTTCTTTACATTCAGACACAGCTATATATATATGGCTGTTGAAATCCCCAACAGTGTCACAAGCAAAGCACCCCCACACCATCAGACCTCCTCCTCCATGCTTCATAGTGGGAACCAGGCATGTAGAGTTCATCCATTCACCTTTTCTCCGTGGCACAAAGACACGATGATTGGAACCAAAGATCTTAAATCTGGACTCATCAGACCAAAGCACAGATTTCCACTGGTCTAATGTTAATTTGCTGTGTTCTTTAGCCCAAGCAAGTCTCTTCTGCTTGTTGTCTGTCCTTAGCAGCGGTTTCCTAGCAGCTATTTTACCATGAAGACCTGATTCACACAGTCTCCTCTCAAGAGATGTGTCAGCTGCTAGAACTCTGTGTGGCATTGACCTGGTCTCTAATCTGAGCTGCTTTTAACCTGCGATTTCTAAGGCTTGTGACTCGGGTGAACTTATCCTCCGCATCTGCTGGAGATAGACACCACCAGCCCTTGCAACCCCAGCTGGGATAAAGTGTGTTGGAAAATGGATTGATGGATACAAGTATTTTTCGAATCTAAAAATAGGGTCATTAAAATTAGCCTGTTAATGTAATACTGACAGATCAAAATCAAGCTAAATACGAGAATATAGCAGATTTCATTCTAACATTTAGTCAATTTTGACCCAAAAAAACCCCATGTAACAATAAAAATTATATCAGGATCTTTTACACAAGTTAACAGGAATTATCTGAATTATGCCCAAATTTCCCTGTGAGATATATACATATATAAAAGATATATAAACAGTGAACTTTTAATATTTGGTTGTCAGAAAGTAATGTAATTACATTTTGATTTATTCTCATAATTGCTGTCCTTATTTACAATGCCGATTGATTTTAAACATTAAACATTAACAACTGCAGTTCTTTTATAGCATACTGAGCTGAATTGCCTGTGAAGTGTCACAGCAGAGTCGCACAAAGCAAAATTTAAACGACTGAGGAAAAAGAAAAGGGATTTAAGGAAAAAAGGAGTGAGCAAATGTTCCTAAAATCCCTTTTGTATCCTAAGCAGGATGTTCTTTGATGTTTTATCTATGAAACGACAAAGGAGCAGAAAGCAGATAGAGGAGACTGAAGAGCCAAATCTACTGTGCTAAAGTCGAGCAGCAGCGACAGGAAGAGGGGGTAGAGAGAAGCATGAGATCAGGAGACATGGAGATGGAACACAATGAGAAAAAACTGAAAAAAAAAAGTTAAATTAAAATTGATGAGGGAAATTAAAATGTTATATAGCAGACAGGGAGTCATGGTAGCCTGAGAGGACCAAGAGGAGAAGGCAAGGGATGAGAGAGGTGGCACAGCAGCAGTCACTCTGGCTAATGCAGCACACTGTGACGTCAACCTTGCAGCAGAGCTGAGCTCAACACTAGCAGGCTAATCTGTCCTCTGTGGCCTGCAATAAATTGCAGTATTATAATTACAACACATGTGGGTAAAACACCTGCCTCTCAATAGCTGCTCTTCAGCAACTGACCTCTTTCACTTTGCAGCTAATTATAACCAATACCACCAGCTTCTGCTAGACATCTACGCACAAATGTTTTTGATTAATACACACTGAAGAGAATAAAAAAACAGTTTTACAACTATAATTTTTAACTTCCGATAACCATTCATCATTCACTGATAATCCCACTTTATGATTACCCATTTCCTGCACATCTTACCATCAGAATATGTCTTAGAGGTTATAGGATTTGGTCTGAATTACCTGTTTCATTAAGACCCATATCTTTCTATGTACTCAGCAGCTAAAAATTTTTTTTTTAATCTGCTAATGAACCTCCCTCGTATATGTATATTTTAGTTCTTTTATGTCTCAAATTCTTACATTGTCTTTTTTATTGTTATTTTTATAAAACATTTTCTTATTA